ACCCTAAACTGACCCTAAACCCTAAAGCCCAAACCCTATAAACCCTAAACCCGAGTTCGGGTTCCAGTCTGGGACCTCCGGAAGGAAGCTTCAGGTTACTCCCTGGAAGGGCTGAGGATTCAAGGTTGAAGGTTTACTAAAAAATAGAGGGCCCCAAAAAAAGCTACCAACACTCTTGTTTTGGGGGTTCCATATTATAAGTATGGTATACCGGGCCCCAAAACCCGATTCTACTTATTAAGGCCCCTACATCATAGAAACCTTATAGTCACCCTTATAGAGCCCTTTTAAAGGAACCCTACCCCTAAACCCTAAACCCTAAACCCTAAACCCTAAAACCCTATTCTCCCCCACATTCCTCAACCGCCGAAAACCTAGAGCCTCAGGGCGAGGCCTGCATCCGCGAGTGCCCGAAGCGCTTTGAATCGACGGAGAGCGCCGCCACCGGGCTTTAGGGTTTAGGGTTTAGGGTTTAGGGTTTAGGGTTTAGGGTTTAGGGAAACACCGTAACCCCAAAGCGATGGCTTTGTTTAGGGCTCCTTCTGATGGTTCTGTTTTACACCAGCCCTTGACTCGGTAGCCCTAAGGGTCCATGTGCTCACATATAGTATATACATTGGCTTGATGTAGACCCTATATAGGTACTTTAGGGCCCATGTATATGCTATATGAGTACATGGACCCTTAGGGTAGGATTTTCGGGGGGTCTGCGTAGGGTTTGGGGCAAGCTTCGGACCGAAAGGGTTGAGTGCAAGAGTTGCCCTAAACCCATAGGCCCCATAGTAGTTCCTTTTTGGGTTTACCTTATAGGATTCTATATATGAACCCCACCAAGGAACTGCTTTAGGGCCTGTGGGTAAACCCTAAACCCTATAAGCCCCTGAACCCGAAAAGCTCCTAAAGCCTGTGAGCCTGAAACTCGCAAGGGCCCAAAGGCTCAAGACTTCATCCACTCCCATAGGCCCCATAGCAGTTCCTTTTTGGGAGTACCTAATAGGATCCTAAATATAAGCCACAAAAAGGAACTACTATGGGGCCTATGGGCTAACTGGCAACCCGCAACTTCCGTGAGCCTTAACTTGGAACGACCCTCAGCCGACATAAGCCTTGATCTAGATGTTGCTACACCCTGAGTGCTCCCTAAACCGTAAACTCTAAGCCCTAAACCCTAAACTCTATAAATCCTAAACCCTAAACCTAAACATTAAACCATGTTACACCCTCAGAGCTGAAGTCCAGCAACCCCCAAGTACTGTAGCTTTCGGCGTGCAAAGGGACAGGAATCTAGTCATTCTTCCGGCTTCGGCTTCAAAGAGTTGTATTTTATGTGATAATGGCGCTGTGTCGATGCTGATGTCGCAGTGGATGATGGCAGCAAAGTTTCTGAGAATGGCGATGAACCTGGCTGTGCCATGCTATTTTTCATTGCGACTGCTGCGCATGATCAGGAGTGGGAAGCTACTTATGCCGGTTTGAGGGGTCGTCTTCATGGTCTCTGGGTGTTTTGATGTGCGTGTTTTTTTTTCGTAACGCTTCTCCAAGGAAATCTACGGCAGTTGCTTGCTCAGCCTCTCGTGGGAGTGAAGTTCAGGGCTTCTTCATAGCGAGAGAAGGATTCTGGGGTATAGGTAGGGTTTAGGGTTTAGGGTTCTGGGGTGT